AAAGTATTACTGTTGCTATTGTTGTCAGTGTATACCAAATCTACTATGAACTTCGATTAGTTTACCTGCCACAACATTACTAGTAGACGTAGTCTTGAATCAATATATTGAATAACAAACCAGTGGTAGAATATATTAATATACATAAAACTATACTGAAACTAAATATTCGTGTTATAACTGTTAGTTAGAAAATTCTATTTGAATTCACATGTTTGGCATTCCTAAATGCTTAGTTCTATCACATCATGTCCCTGTTCCTGTCCATCATATTACACTCGATACCCCCCCCCCTCCCTATTCGAGGGGAGAAGACATCTACTTGATAATATGATGACATTTTGGCTATCAAAGTAGAAAAAAGGATTAAGTTGTTGCTCTAATTAGGCACTGACAGAACCTGCTGGCAAAAATCAATCATGAAAAGATTTTTTCAAATCCTGAAAGAAATCCATCAAACATTGCAGTGATACTAATGGGCTGGGGCTCGCCATCTCACTATTGATTACCTAAGGCATTTTCAAATTGTCGTTTTTCTCTGCCCTTTTCAATTTCTTTTTTTTTCCATTTCAATTTCCTGTCTTCTCGCCTGTGTGTCTTGCATTGTGATGGAATGTAACTTTTAAATGTGTCAATGTTCCCCAAAGCTTCTCATGTATTCAAAAGAGCTTGGGAATTAGATATATGTGCCAATGCCTATAGTATAATTCATTTATGCCATGTCCCAGCTTATTAGGCTGTTGCTTGCAGTTTATCACACATGGCAGTTTATTAATGTCATGTGCCGCGTAATAATAGAATTATTTAGGTTTATTCTGAAACAAGAAAATATGTTGAACAGACATCTAAGACAAAAATGCCTAAATAGTTAGATAAATTAAATGCATTCTAGTTGACCACACAACGGCTTTGTACAACCTGCACATAGCCATCTATCCAGTTCGTCATGCTATTAATTCCAAATTAAGATATAAACGTCTGTCTAATGTAGCAGACAGTCAATAGCAGATGTTAAATCAAAAACTAATGCGGCTAGTAAGTACTTCTTCCGAATTATCACGTAACTGCGCTAAGCGGAAATATGATTACGTGTGTGTCCTTATATCAATTGATCATTATCCGGGATACTCATATTACCATTTCATTCGTACTTTTAACATGTTTGATAATTCTGGATATTTGATTGAAATTGATTGTCATCAGTATGAATAGGAATATATCAATATGTGAATTGGTCTTCATTGATTGTCCGGTATTTTCCCAGCAAATTAATGCTAATGGATATGTCAATGTACAATGCATCATAATTTGAAAGCGAGATATCTTGCTTGAGTGGATAGGCTACGTTTTCTACAGTCGACATGATTGACAAACACTCATCAGACAGCCTTGTTACCAATCCCTATGTGGTTATGAGCTAAGAATTCAGTATAATCAATCAATAATTTATGTAATTGCAATTAGTGTGTAGAATAATCTCATCATTGAACTGGGTGCACTACTATAATTATGTAGAATATGTTATAAGAGAAAATGCGCGCATGTCGTAAGATTCCTTCCCATGCGGATTCCGATTTTTTATGGATGTTGTTCGAAACAATAGGCTATTTTTAAAACATACAATATTCAGTTTTCAAGTGCTATCCAGTAAAATACATGCCCGAAGATTGAATAATCCGGAAATTTTGACGATTCGCATTATCAAAATTAACTCGGCCATTACACTCGTTTTCATTTTCTATTAGATGTTTGGCCAGCTTTATTTAGAAAAAAATTGAAGTTAGAACGTGTTAAGAGGTTAATATAAACCTAACAATGTTCTTGAAATTACATTCTATAATGCAACAGCAGACGATTAGTATGTATGTATGTACGTACGGTGTGTGATTGATTGAATTAACCGTACACACTTCGAACTATTTAGAGATAATAGGATTTTCTGTTAATTATAGTAAATGTAGTTAAATCTTCACAACTTCCACAATCAAATTTGCAATTCCACCAGTACATTATAATAAATCTATAATCAAAATACTTTACGTATCTGTTTAATGTTAAATGAAATGTTCATTTAATTTTTAAGTTGTTCTGCATAATGTAGAAGACATAACAAGAAACACGCTGTATAGAAAAAAAATGATTATATATTTTAGAGGGCAGTAATAAAATGATATTGTAGACATATGCTTTAGGCAGTAATGAGACTATATAAATTTGAGAGTCATAAATGTTAATAACCATGTTTTAACGACATCATATCAATTTTAAAGGCTTCGCAATAATTTGCAGAAATTTGCAAAATAAATTGTCCAAAAATGATTCCATTATTTCTATATAATGTGTTGCATAATCAATATACATTAAGACAACACAGCTCGACGGTTCGGCTATTTCCTTTCCTTTATTAAAGACGTGGTGAGGTGATTAATTATTCAAAAAGTGTCGGCTTTCGGCAAACGCAAAGGGAACTGTCAGACTGATTTATTTGCAATAAGGTTACAATGAGTAAAATTACTCCCTAAGGGGCAAAACCACACATTCAAATCGTCTGCAGCACAGCACATGGATTTGTAATAACATCGTTTTGGTCTGCAAACATAGCATTAGCTGCAAGTTGAATGGTTAGAAGATATAGCATAGCGCCCCATACAGCCGAGCCGTAGCTATTCACTAGAGTATACACTGGAAATCCCCCAGTCCCATATCTCACACATTTACTGAAATGTATATGGCCACAGTGTGACGTCACGTCTAGCTCATAATGTAAATTCGAAACATATACTGAGTATACACTATTTTTTACAGGTTGGAGGGGGGTTCTTGTAGAAGTTAACTGTAGATGTACCAGTAACTGTTTTATGCTGTTACGTCATCAGTAACTGTTGTTTTTCTCGAAAGGCTATCCGTTGTTATAGATACTACTGCGAGTGTCAGTGTGAGTGTTGCCTTTTGACTTAGTATATGTAGACAGCAACACACCAACCCCGCCCCATCCACGTTCGCTGAGCGCAAGAAATGCGCCATCGTCGAATGCCTGGTACTGTTAACATCTACGTTGTTTTTTGAACCGTGGTGATCAGCTAATATGAACGCAGTCAGGGTCACATTACGTCATTAGCGTCTACTCCGGTCATTCAATGTGTCGTTAGTTAATATTCCATCTGTTTTGCCACATGTAGACATTTGATATTTTTGGCACCGAAACAGATAGATTGATTCAGGATACCGGGTACAATGTTTTTGCTCGTACAAAATGGGTAAGTGTTAGATCCTCAAACGCGATACAAAAAAAACAAAAGCTGCGTGATAATACCCTACCACCTTACACGTGACTTTTGAATTGAACAAGTATATCTAAAACAATATAGCGTACTCACGGCACCGGATTTGTCACATAGGAAAGCCATACGTTTACTTTTGTGTAATGTGGAATGCAGACAGGAGTTCATTAAACTACTGAATGTTATCGGCCAATTATGTCGCTGATATTTTCAACCATGCATCATAGCGTTAGTTCGCTTAGATTCATGTATATTTACATTAAATAGGCTGTCCACCGGAATCTATAAATTCTAGAACATTGAGAACACAATGGATTCCTCCATTTGTGGTACGTACCTTCACAATAATGTCACATTACATTTTTGTGCACAGTCTGGTATTTCGACAAAATACAAAAACAGTAAAACATGTGTTACACTTAGAAGCATGGAGGTGTCGAACGTAGGGAACACAACTCGCTTGGTAATTCGAACAAAAGGACACACATAAAGGGTTCCTCAAATGTAGTTCATCTTTATCACCTACTGGCCGTTCGTTTCGAACGCGAGTTCGCCAACTCCAATCAACCGCACCCCCACCCACCCAGTTTCCAGTTGTGTTACATTTCCGTACAGCTTATCACGATATAGCAGCGAGGCAATATACGCAAACCGCTGACGCAGGGTAGCAATGCTCATTCGCGATACATAAGTCAGAGGATAAAACGTTATGTTAATAATTATAAATTTTACGCTTATAAATATGGCATAGTATATGCCCAAAACATGCGGGCTGCTGAAAATGAGAAAGCCCATATTAATGGACTGACAAGTGTTCCTATGTGCTTTCTTCCAGACAAACAATGCACTTTCACTATGGTTCGCGCCATATGAAGTTCGTCGTCTAAATATAGTAATTCTTAAAAATCGGTATTTGCTTTTGAACTACTGATCAAAACAACATCCACCCTGCGTTCCGTTGCATCCCATGGTTCACAATACGCCACCCATGACTGTGCATATTAGACTGCATTCCGTCACGCCCTGCGTTACACACAGCCTGTGTATAACCTCAATAATGTCTTTGCATACATTATTGTCATATACAGTATCATAAATTTTTGTCCGGAATTATAACGTATGTTCTCGAAAGGTTACTTATTATCTATCGGGTCAGACATAATGTTAAACGGGTATTATTGATGCTTGTAAAGGTCCACGAACTGCGCTATAAATAAATACAGCATTCGTGTGGTGAAGCAAATGTAAACGTGGTGCATAGCTGAACGGGTAGTCATTATTCCGAGATACGCCAAGCAGCTATACAGCTGCGCTGGTTGCACGGTGAAAAAAACAAAACAAAAAAAACGTATTCTAGTATAACGTACATGCCTCTGTGGAACCCAACAGCACACATGCAATAAAGCTGAATTTTACTACTCCCTGGCCGGTTTAATGCAATTTTATGTAAACATTTTATCATGCATCGATGGCTTATAGAAGTAATTATCAGCCATGACGAAACGACTTGTGACACGAAAAACATTGCGATTGAGACATTTCACGTACTACATAATACCTTGCGAACAGATATAAAGACAATAGTAGGCTACATTCCATTAAACAAACTACTAAATATTTAAGAGGACATGGCGTTGTAACTACTAAATATTCAAGCAGACATTTTGTTGATATACACATTACTTACTGAAAACATCCGACAATATGGAATACACTAACCTCAGTAACTATGTCTTCTGTGTGCTATGTTCTCGTGCACGTGGCCCCATATACACGGATAAGGCGAATCACCCAAACGCCAACAGTTCGCTATATTCCTGATGAATAAGACTTAGTATGCACCGACGAGTCAACTGCGAATTCGCTACTACAGTATACGTCACGCTTGCTGAGAAAACAGGTGTAGTGTGTATACCTAGCGTCTAACAATGTACGGCGCACCAACTGTCAGAGTTAGAGAAAGAATGAGAGGGAGAGATAATTAAATATACAACGCCTCTCTCCTTACAGCTCATGAATAATTCATGAGCATGGCCATCAATGATGTGTACACACCGAATGAAATTATACTTTGCTGGAAAAGGTCTTCTTGAACTAAGAAGGTTCCATTCAATGCATGCAATTAAAGAAAATGTATTTTCTTATGCTGTGTCTTGTATCCGCTGTAGAGACAAAGGCGCATTGATTAAAAAACTTTCCACGTTACGGTAGATAATGAAAAAATATTCGTATCTAAATCGGTTATCAACTATATTCTTTATAATTTAAATCTTTTATATTTATTTGCTTATTGGGAGATCGTGGTATCAATCGTAATACATGCATGCTACACAAGGAATGTGTTTATATATATAGTTAAATTTAATCATTCTGGCACGCGATGATGGTATATTGTATTGTAGTTGTGACGGTTACTTTGAAATATCACAATATGTAGAATTAACATTAAATATCCGAAAGTGGGGTGGAATAATATGAGATTATTTCGAGGATGCCTCAAATTATGCACGAAGATAGTACAGCGAAAGTATCGACCGACGCGCAGCGGAGGTCGATGCGACGGAGTACCGTCTGAGTGTATACTTTGAGGTATCCTTGTAATAACCTTATCATTATACATCTTTTCCTTTTAAGGATACATCATGGGAATGCCGAAATCCAAACATAATCAGCGAACTTCTTCGTGTGGAGTCCGGTCAAACCCTGACGGCAGCCATGTTTGTTTTTATCATTAGAGGACGCTTACGCACGTAATCATTCCATATTTGGAATTTGCATTTATTTATGTGGTAGAATGAAAATACCACGTGAAATACCGCAAAATTACGGCACGCTGTAACTTATGGCGTTACGCTGTAACTTATTGCGTTACGGTGACAGATGTATAATAACTGTAATATATATTCGTGCATATTTATATTTCGTGTTCTCGTATAACCTCATATTATTACATATGTACTGCAGATAATTTTGATTCGTCCCTGAAATCAAAATTGGTATTTCCACACACCATATACAAATAAGTTCTGAAGGCAAACAAAGTAGTTCCTCCAGGAGTACCGTTTTTCGAAACATAGCAGAAATAAACAGTATTTATATATATTTTTTTCCTTTGGGGTACATGAATATACTTGCCGAGTGAAATGAAATTTGAACAACAGTAATTGTACTTTAAGGCAGTCATTTATTTTGACTAAAACTAATTTGCATATCACCCATGCAATAATATTTTCGATATTTCACGGTCGATATGCAAATTAACAAGTTATTTCCATTGGCGACCGAACTTTTTTTATTTTGTAAACAGATACTCGTCTGCTATTTTTATCCGGTTCAAATCGTTCATCAACATTTTTGGCACATTAGGTGTACATCACTTGGAACTCTACGATTGAGAGAACTTAGTGTATGTTGACCACCTGGAAAATGTGTTTTAAAAACCCTGAAGGGCCCTCTGAAAATCCACCCGCAGTAAATTCAGCGATTGCTATGGGGCAGCAACCATCAACATCGAGGTACCAGGAGGTTTCTGCTGGCGACGTTGCGGCGTTACTCAGTTCCAAATAAAGATTACCAACGCCAAATGAGCAACATTTAAATCAACGTGCAACTCAGCGACGACCGCTGTCGACGAAAGTAAATTGTGTACCATGCTGCAGTTGCAGTTGCATTCTGTGGAGGAACTTTTTACTTCAACATAAACTGTGTATCACAGTCGTCCGGGTCAAGTTCTGGTTCTGTGGTGGCTCCAACTAAACGTCAACGGTTTATTTATTCGGACAGTGACTCAGATTAGACGTCTGATTATTTTATTTTCACACAGACAGTGACACTCGCTCTGGTTCACGGACCATCCTGGTTTGTTGCACGTTCTTTATATAATAAAAACAAAATCCCACACCCTCCTCGTGGCTCTCGTTGCGTATGTAAGTAATTTTCATGAGTGATGCGGTGTATCCCGCGGCCGTACTTTCACGAGCAAATCAAGTCACGTACTCCTAAACATGGAACATTGGTTCGGCGATAAAATTAACTATAGTATATTTCCTTAAACAAACACAACGATTAAACGCAATGTATTTCAGTGCACGATAAACGACGTGAACACACCTAATATGGTAATATCAAGCAATGCTATGGCGCAAATAATACCACATTTTGTTGAAAATCAGTGAAATCGTGAATCCAGACATAAAGTAACATAACAATATCATTAATGTAATTATCCATAAAACATAAATGAATGAATGAATGAATGAATGAAACAAAAATTATGTTATTTTATGAGGTTATTACGAGGATACCTCAAAGTATGCACAAAGACAGAACAGCGGGTTTTCGACCGACGCGCAGCGGAGGTCGATGCGATGGCGATTGTCTGAGTAATAATTTACATAATAACTATAATTTAGCTATGTAATAAAACAACGCACTATTGGTTTAACTCGTCGCGTTAAATCAATAACGTAAACCAGAATTATTTATCTAAGAGATACATCATTATCAAAGTCAATTCGCCGATTGCCTTTATATTATTCACACGTTGACCTTGAGTGACAAAGTTTATTGTGCGATATTTGTTAAGTAATATAATCACAAATGTAAACCAGCAGCGATTGCTATCTGCCAAAACGGTTTCTTGTTTGATGAGATGTAAATTTAATTATTATATTACCTCGGTTGAATAAGAGTGTTGCTACGTGCATATCAATGGTAATAAGATTGCCGCATTGCATTTATTGCTAGGAGACTTGTACTGTATTGTGACTGATCAATCAATTTTAGATGTGACATTTGCGGGTGAAATCCCAACGCCTAAATTTCAAATTAGTTTACCAATATACGAAATCGCGCGTGTCCAGTAGATCGAACTATATTACTGAATCAAAATGCTCATGATGTTTCCCATTTCAGCAGAATAATGTCAACTGTGACTCCCAACTACTCAACATAGCCACTACAAATGTTGAATATATTACCATTATTACAAATCTGAAACGGAATATGTTATCAGGTACTTACAATCTGTTTAATCAAGAAACAGAATCAACATCTGCGGCTTTAAATTGGTTCATCGATTAATTCTGTGGGTCCCGCTTTTATCAACGTGCAATTGAATACACCCGAAATATAATTGATTTCGTCTAAGCTGCCAACTCTTGCATTATATGTCACGTTTCCATTATATATAATTCCTACATCTAGAGAGGTTGCAAACATGTACTGGCGTCATCAATAGCTGCGACCGAAATTTGATTGTGTGTATATTTTTATGTTAACACTGATAAGGTATGATTATATCAAGTTCCAAAAAAATATCTCCGAATGAATCAATAACAAAAAAATAATAATAACCGATCGGATTAAATCATACACTATCGAAATGAGATTAATTGGTAATCTACTGTTGACAGTATAATTCGGGTCTAATTTTTGTGTGTCACATGGCAACGTAATAACTGCCTTTGATTTGACGTTGCGAATTTCCTGTATTCACACTAATACCGGCGTAAAATTAAACTCTCACGGTCGAGTGAAATGAATGATGTGGTTTACCTACAATGCAACGTTCCATTTTATTTCATTTAATCGTAATCCGCCACAGCTCGGTGCCGTGGCTCAGCAATTGTCATTGTATAATAAGGTTAGTACGCTTGTTAAATGTCAGCGATTATGTTAAAACTCGTTCGCTGCATTTCAGCTAGGAAGCAAATCATTTGTTTTACAGATTGTATTAAAATACATAGATGTCTAGGATGCTAGGAAAATTGATCTAGAAACCCATAGCATGTATACCATATCATTATTTTATCGTTACCCAGAACACTAGATAGTAGTAACTGACTAAGACATAATTAAGCACTACTTCATATATCCGAATTGTTACTTTAGATAAATTCTGAAGGTTGTGATATTTAGAAAACAGATGATATCAAATCAACGAAAGCAATAGCATACTCACGATGGAATTCAAGCCTGTACACAGATGGAACATCAATGAGACTACTGGGCTTCACGCGACAATATCTTGTTTTAAATTGTCATAATAATTGATAGACACTTAGGCCAGACTTTTATTATTCCTTGTTTCGCGAACCCGCCGAATGAACAGGAGCCGAAAATGAATTAAAAATAAAAATTTATTTCAGCGTAATTTCTCGCGCCCGCCAAATTGTACATGCAAAAAATTACTAAAAAAGATTATTGTAAGTACTGAAGTCTCGCGCAGATGAGAAACAAGATTATACATGGAATAAATTTTATTTCATTTCTTTTTCCCCGATCAATGATCTCACTTACAATTCTTTGAGAATCACACAAATCTAATGGAAACAAAGAATTAATTAATGTTGTTTCCGCTCTCCTCAAAAAATTATATAAAAACTCGAGAAACAAGGAATAAAAAAGTCTAGCCTTAATGGGCGTGATCAATGATCTGGTATCCACTATTGGATGATGGGATACTATTGCAAACAGTTTTCTTTTTTTAATTATTATTAATAATTTGTTTATTAATCTAATCCTTTCAACCAATTTTCATTGAGATTATGATTACCATGGAGACGTCCTATCTATTCTGTTGTTTTTATATGATATTGCATACAACATTGATTTTCGCATTATATGTACTCTTCTTTCATAGACCTGTAATTTTAATATAAATTCTTGTTCCGGTTGTTTTATTACTAGTATGTTTTATTTGCTATTATGACACTAACCATTATGTATCGAAAAATGTAATCAAGTTCAACACTACACCAATGTCAACAAGTTCACAAGTACTACTCTTACATGGGGGTTGGATTCATCGTGGTAAATACGAGACAGTCGCGGGTACTGACCTAAATTTTTTAATAAATTATTTGTGCAACCCTTGGTTAATGTTGCACTCAATTGTGTTCGAAGGATTAAAAGTATTCGGCATTGACGAATCG